GTAATCATACAAGAATAAACTCTGTGTTCGAGTGCTCACAACTGTAAGCCTCCTGTTACCCCGCCCTGTGCGCTCTGTGGGATCTCACTCAGCCTTAAAGAGGGGGGATGCTGACACCTGCTACACGGATGGGCCTTGCGGACACTGTGCTTGGGGGTAACAGCAGGACAGATCCTGTGGGATCCCACTCAGGAGGCCCCGGGAGGAGTCGGATTCCTAGAGGCAGGAAGTAGGATGGAAGGTGCCAGGAGCTGGGGGAGGGGTGGGGATTCGTGTTTAATGGGGACAGAGCTTCAGTTTGGGAAGATGGAAAGTTCTAGAGATGATGGCGGGGACAGCTGCACAGCAATGTGAATGTGCTTCATGCCGCTGAGCGGTGCACTTAGAGATGGTCACATGATACAATTATGTGATGTGTCGTTTACCACAATAAAAAAAAAAAGGCTGCAGAAAAGTGGCGGGATCTCCTCTTGCTTTGGGTGTTCGAAAGGAAAAAGTATATAAAGGGAAAAAAATGATTTCCTGGGGTGCTTTGGCGCGGTGGAGATGGTCTAGACCAGGGGTGGGGAACACCCCGCCCTGAGGCCATATAAGGCCCGAGAGATCATTAGGTCTGGCCCTGCCAAGGCATTAGGGGTGAGGTAATTAAATGACCAAATATAGCAGGCCAATTTTTAAGTTGATGATTTTGTATGGCCCTTGAATGATGTTATAAATATCCAAATGGCAGACAAAGGTTCCCACCCCGGCTCTACACCAATGCCTCGCCGCCCTTGACTTTGCAGGAAGACGCTATTGTGAGGATCTGCTGGCCTCCGCCAAGAAAAGGAAGTTAAGCCAAGAAGACAGTTCAGGCCTTTGCAAAGTCCCCACACGGAGCTGCCCACGACTGCCGCATGTCACTCTGCCCTGAGGGTTACAATTGAATTTTTATGCAGCAATTAGTGTTATTACTGTTAAGCCCAGTAAGTTCTTAACGGCTGGGCTGCTGGTTCTGAGAAGCCCTGTCACTCCTTCACGAGGCGAGAAACCGTGGGTGGGTAGAAGGGCCATTGAGATTTTCTTTGTAGGTTAAAAAAGGTCATGGTTCGGGGCGGGGGCGGGGGGGGGGGCGTGTAGGCCCCCACTGGCCAGCTTCAGTCTGAGCCTTTGTTCTGTCTCAGAAGCTTCCTGATAGAAACCTGGATCTGCTCATTTCACAAATGCCCAGCATCTGCTGTTACCCCCCAAGAGGCTAGCCGTCTGAAGGGTTGACTCCGGTCAGCCTTTCCTACAGCCAGCAGTGGTATTAAGGTCGCCATCAATCCCTAAAAGTAGTTGCTGTTCCGCCCATTTTATAGATGGAGAAACTGAGTGTGATCAGTCCTGCAGGTCTCAGGGACAGAGCCTGGATGTGAGCCCGTGGCTTGGAGACTAGACCCCATCGGCTTCTTCCACCCCAGTTCTTGGTAAACCAAGCTCCCCGGATGCAGCAGGACCTGTTAGAAGTCCTCGGGGGAGCTGGATCTGGAAAAAGGAGTCACCTGGGCCCAACTAACCTTTCAAATGAAAGGAATAAAACAAAACAAAACACCAATGCGGCGCTTCTGTTGGGGAGCTGGCCGCTGGATCCTGAGGCCTCTGCAGGCGCCTGCCCTCCCCTGCCCCCGGCTTGGCACTGCACCTTGAATTGGAGGGTCTGCAGGCGAGGAGCTCCGAGCTGCCCCCAGCCAGGCAGCATTTAGTCTCGAACACCCACCGAGCGCCTCCTGTGTGCCAGGCACTGTTGAAGGCCCACGGGACACAGCTGGGAACGAGACAGAACTGAATGGGCTCCGTGGAGGTGACAGTCTAATGGGCTAGAGGGTCAGCAAATG